CAAAAGGGCTAATAACTGTGTGAAACTTTTATCCAACCATCCATTGCGCGCCTTTAAATTGTACAATTTTAATACCGCAGACAATCTTGTGAATTTGAGGCAATCTTTATACAACGGTTTCTCCGCATCGCTTACCAACCTCTCAAACATTTTGGGACAATCTTGAAGATCTTCTTCAAGTGCTTCTGCAATCTCTTCGACTCGATCACAATCATATGTATCCGTGGCATTGTCGTACGAAACATAGGTCACATTACTTTTCACCCCCGGTTCAACATTCTCTATGCTTTTCTCACCATGAAATATCCAACACGTATAACTTTGATCAATTCCACGCATTAGTAAATGCGATTTCAATCCATCTGCGTCAACCTGACCCACATAACAATAACCCAAACAAGGACATTTCATTTTATTCGGGTCTTCAGCGTGTTCAACAGCAAACTTAACGAACTCTAATACCCCATTCTCGTACTCTTTTGACAATCGATCGACACACATCCATTTTTTATTCCTGGTTTTAACTATTATCTAAGTTAAACAAAAACACTAATTAGGGCATAAAACGGTATAATGCGTTTTTGTAAAAACACAAAGTATACACGGATTTAAAATAAATTTGAGTTCTAAAAAATCAATTCGGAGAAAATATAAAAATTGATCTAAAGTTCCAACATAACTAAGGAATACCATATAATAAATAAGGGTAGTTAATTACGGTTCGATTCAGCAAGTTATGGTTTGGTTAACTATGGTTTCAGTTCGGTTATTGAACTGTTTGATGACATGTGGTTCGGTTCATAAACCATGAATAACGGTTCGGTTATTTAAAAACGGTTCAGTTCGGTTCTGTGGTTCAGTTCAGTGGATTTTTTGAACACCCCTAATTATGATTTATTTTTTCTTCACATTATCAATACCATAACCACAAGTTCACGAATCTCACTACACATTATTTGGCTGCTAGTAATTGCTATTTAGTTAGCAGGTGATAGACAAGTTTAAAAAAATAATATGCTTTTATAAACATATTAAAATTGCACAATAAATAATCACATGTTACAAAATTGAACTAGTTTTGTTTTTTACCATAGAGGTTTACTATAGTAATACAAAACTTAGAAGCAAAGAAATAGAAAGAGGAAGAGTTTCTCACCGTAGTGCCTGCAACCAGGAAAATTGCACTAGATAAGCTTCCTGTTAATGTCAACAAAAAAACACGAGTAAGTTAAATTCACACACAAAAGCACTTATTTACAAAAGCACTGACATTCTTGAGATTCTTGAAAGCACTTATTCACAAAAGGGTGCGTTATCCCCCAAACAAAAGCACTTATTCACAAAAGCATTGTTTCCTTCCTACCCAGCTCTAGCTAGTATCATGACCACCCACATTTTTATTCAATAGAAAAGAACAACTTAATAATGTAAAAATGCATAAATGGTGTTATCGGAACTGACCTGTTGTTGTTATCGGAACACCGGCGAGAGTTGCTTCTGTGCAGAGAAAGAAACACCAAAGTACGGTTGGACGGTGAGGAGACGAGTTGGATAAGAGTTGGAGGAAGAACCACGGTTGGACGGTGAATGGGAGGAGACGAGTTGGAGAAGAAGATGAACATGAGCGATTTCTGGGTGTGGGGTTTCGTTTGTACGATTTGGGATTTCTGGAAATCTGATAACCAATTTAGGGATTAAGACACTATTTAATTACCTTAGACATCGCTTTCAAGAAGCATTGCTAAAGGTATTACCTTTAGCAACGCTTTTAGAGTAATGCCTTTAGCAGCGTTTCTGGAAAGCGCTGTCTAAGGTATACCCTTTAGCAGCGCTTCTGGAAAGCGTTATCTAAGGTATACCCTTTAGCAACGCTTCCTAGAATAACACCTTTAGCAGCGCTTTTAGTAAACGTTGTCTAAAGTATAACCTTTAGCAACGCTTATTCTAATTTTTTAATTTTTTTTTTACTGAAAACCTATAGCAGCGCTTAGAGAAAGAAAGCGCTATCTATGGTAAGATCTATAGCAGCACTTATAATAAGCGTTGTCTATAGTATACCTTTAGCAGCGCTTCGCCTTTAATTTTTAATTATTAATTTTTCTGAAAACCTATAGCAGCACTTTAGACATAAGCGTTGTCTATGTGGCGCTGTCTAAAGTCAATTTTGGCATAGTGATCCTAACCCGACCAGTTTCATAGTGCAAATTTTATGGTTCTAATAAGTATTTAATCCTCTTCCACCTTGATTGTTCGAAAGGCGTCCAACAATCTCACCCATTTTTTAACTCTTATTGGCTTGTACTCTTGTTAGCATTTACGTGCATGTATATCATTGGATCCATACACATAGGATTAAGGCATTTCATCAGCAGTTAAAGATTACAGATTCACCACCATCCCTTCACTTGACTCCCCCCTATGTTAATTTTGGAATAAACTGAATGTATTATTCTGATTTGGAATGTACAAAACAGTACTATATATACTGTTTGAGTGTAACAAACTATAACAAACTACAAACTATTTAGTAACAAACTAAACAGAATTATAACAAATATAACAAACTACAAACTGTTTAGGAACAAACTAAACAGAATTATTTTCATCATGTAATAGCCCCTCACAAGCTGGACTATGGATATCTAATAGACCAAGCTTGGAAACAAGAGAATCGAAAGAGGGAGCTGCCAAAAGCTTGGTGAGAACATCTGCCAATTGAGCAACTGAAGAAACTGGTAAAAGATGGATGAGACCAGTTTGGATTTTCTCACGAATGACGTGGCAGTCAATTTCGATATATTTTGTTCGTTCATGGAAGGTGGGGTTGTGAGCAAGGTAGATAGCACTTTTGTTGTCACAATAAACTGAGATAGGTTGATCAAAGGAGATGTGGAGATCCTTGAACAAATACTGCAGTCATTGCAATTCACAAGTCAAGCTTGCCAAGGCCCTGTATTCCGCTTCTGAACTTGATTTTGATATTGTAGACAGCTTTTTGGATTTCCAGGATATGAGGAAATTGCCAAGGAACACACAGTATCCAGTTACGGATCTGCGGGTAACAGGGCAACTTGTCCAATCAGAGTCTGCGAAGCCAGAGAGTTTGAGTGGAGAGGAAGATGAATAGAACAAACCCTTGGCAGGAGCACCTTTGAGATACTTGAGTATTCGAATTGTTGCAGAATGATGAACTTGCATAGGATGTGAGATGAATTGGCTAAGTTGTTGAACGATGAATGCAAGGTCAGGTCTGGTGGTAGTCAGATATAGGAGTTTTCCAACAAGCCTTCGATAAGCTGTGACGTCTTTGAAAGGTGGTGAGTTATCATCATGAAGCTTTAAGGAGAAATCGAAGGGAGTAGAGCAAGGTTTAGTAGCCAATAAGCCACTGTCTTCGAGCAATTCCAAAGTATACTTTCTCTGATTAAGAAAAATGTCGTGAGTTGATCTGGCAACTTCTAGACCAAGAAAATATTTTAGCCTACCAAGGTCCTTGATTTTGAAAGTGGAATCAAGGAAGCATTTGACATATTGGATTTCCTGCAAATTATTACCGGCTAAGACAATATCATCAACATAGACTAATAAGGCAGTAAAAGAAGAGCCATGTGATTTTGTAAAAAAGGAATGATCAGCAGAAGAATATGAGTAGCAAAGAGAGATAAGGGTAGTGGACAATTTCGAAAACCACTGTCTGCTAGCCTGCTTCAGGCCATATAATGACTTATGTAATTTGCAAACTTTGTTGGTCGAAGAAGTGCAAACTTCGTTGGTCGAAGAATTGCTAACTTCGTTGATCGAAGAAGTGCTAACTTCGTTGATCGAAGAAGTGAAAACTTCGTTGGTTGAAGAAGTGCAAACTTCGTTGGGCGAAGAAGTGCAAACTTCGTTGGTCGAAGAAGCAAAAGAAGTGCAAACTTTGTTGGTCGAAGGAGTGCAGACTTCGTTGGTCGAAGAAGCAGGAGGCAGGAATCCAGGAGGCAGATCCATATACACTTCCTCATGTAGATCACCATGAAGGAAGGCATTGTTGGCGTCGAGTTGTTCCAAGTGCCAATTCTTAATGACAGCCACTGAGAGAAGGGTTCGAATAGAAGTAAGCTTCGCAACAGGTGAGAAAGTGTCGAAATAAACCACCCCCTCCAGCTGAGTATATCATTTTACTATCAAACGGGCTTTATATCGTTCGATGGAGATAAGAGTCATTTTCATTGATCTAGACCAGATCTGGTAGTTCTTGATATCAAGAACAGGTTGAACAAGAACAAGAGAGGGATTCTCATTAGGGTGCATGTAGTAAGGATTGGAATTATTGGTAGCAAAATCAGAGTAAGGAATCGCCATAACAAGCTGAAGCAGCAAGGAAAGAAGGAGGCGCGAAGGCGCGAAGAAGAAGAAGGCGCGAAGAAGAAAGGCGCGGAAAAGAGAATTCAAACTGATACCATGTTAATTTTAGAATAAACTGAATGTATTATTCTGATTTGAAATGTACAAAACAGTACTATATATACTGTTTGAGTGTAACAAACTATAACAAACTACAAAATGTTTAGTAACAAATTAAACAGAATTATAACAAATATAACAAACTACAAACTATTTAGGAACAAACTAAACAGAATTATTTTCATCATGTAATACCCTACAACAAAGATAACTCATTCTTAATAAATTGAAACTCAATCTTAACCGAAGCCAATAAATCATGAGAACACAAGCAAATAAAAAACGAAAACATTGTACCTTTGCTACAGGATCTTGTTTTATTGAGATTGCAACCATACCGCCAAACATCAGTCCACCGCAGAACCTCACAGAAGCTTTCAAAGAGATACTTCGGCCATTTCCCTATTCTGCACCATATTGGTCCGTCGCCTACGAGCTAGAACTACCGCCTCCATCCCTGGTTCATCCGGTTTTTCACGTTTCACAACTAAGAGCTTACCATGGACAAGACCCAATATCTGAAGTGTTTCCTCTTCCTGATAACGTGACCGACGATGCATTTGAGGAAACATAAGTTTTGGACTCGAAAAATTGTGCCTCTGAAATGCATAGGGTGAGAAAGAGAGAAAGTTGAAGATAACCAAGGTTTGGCTGAAGCGAAAAGGGTGAGAGAAACTGAGGTTGAAAACAATAAGAGTTTGGAAGTTCAAAGTTTAGTTGAACAAGAGAACGTATCACATGCAAAGACTTTAACACAATCTAACAAGTACAAAGCAAATGTATCTGTCCAAAATCCAACCACGTGGAACTTTCTAGACCCCACAAACCTTTCTCAACCGTTGGATTCGTCTCTCTCTCAATCAGGACCGTCAGACAGCTTTGGCTTTTCTTCCCATATTTATTTTCCCAACCAAGCGGGTCCCTCTCTCTGCACTTCACCGTTTCCCCATGCAGAAAAACCATGGGCCATCAGCGGTTTTCCACATGTTCCATTAAGAGACACGCTGCCCAAGAATAATCTCCAACGTCTCTTTTCTTCTTCTCCTGATCAGGACACACGCCCGCTCCAAGACACAATAGTTATTAGGCCGGGTTTTCCAATAAATTACTCTAACCTTGAAGACAAAATTCTCATTAGGCAGAATAGTAATGATAGGCTCATTTAGATAATGAAGAAGTCCATTTGGTAGCAAGACTTTATTATGAATTAAATCTTATTATTAAGTCTAATTTTATAATTTTCGTTCAAGTGGGCTTAACCCAGAGTTTTATCTTTAAACCCATTTAGATTGTCTTGTATTTATAGAACTAATTAGCTCTAGAAACGGTATACTAAAAATTATGATGTTTTTACTTCTTTCTTTCAATTTTATTTATTGTTTTTTATAGAATCCTAATTAATAGTAGTCGTATGTAATATTTCAAATTTGTTCTACCATTTTATTGAATTAATTGGCTTATGTATTCTATTCTCACTTCGTCTGCATATCCTCCATTAGGTCAATTAATACCTCATGCATCATTAACCAATAAATTTAGTACGGGGTCAAGGATATTGAAGAATTAGGATTGTTGTATGGTTTTAAGGCTCTTATCTTCGCACAAGCTTATTTCAGTTGATTTCTCCATCAATCATTTGTTTGAAGCTAGGGTTTTATTTCCTGGATTTCATTATCATCAAGCTACAAGGATATTCTTTTTTCTCAACATTAAGTTGCAATCTTTCTTCAAGGGTTAAGAATTAGGGTTTTCGTCTGTTATGCTTCAATTGGGGATCATTGGATTAGGGCCCGGGATCTTGTGGTTGTGTTGAGGCTCTCCTTCTCCAACATTGTGGATTTGTTTTTAATGATACAATTTTTTATTCTTATCAAATACTTGCCACTTCAATTGTAAGTCATCCTAAGGCTATATCCAAAGGCTACAAACTCAAATAGTGAAGGCCATCGTCTTGTACCTATCATCTCCATATGAATGATGATTTATTTCCCTAATCATGTGAACTTTAAGAGGGGTCCATGTGTATTTGTTCATCAATAAATTTCAAAGGGGTTCTATCATTACTTGAAATACAAGTGGTTGAAGATTTTTGGTGTATCCATATATTAGGGTCTTATTCAGGGATGCTTCACTATGCCATACAAAGAGGTTATCATATAATAAAATCTTGTCCTTTACAAGTTAGGATTTCAAATGGTCCTTTCTTCATCAAATAAGGTTTAGATGTTACTTGAATCTCAAGGCATATGTTCACAAGCTCTAGGCAAGAGAAGAAGATCCAATGGGGTACTCTTCACAAATTAGATTTTGTACACTTTATGATGCAAAGCTCTTCATCAGGCCTATTAGCTCACTTGGGACACAATATACTTTGGGGACTTCATTTCAAATCCAAATCTAAAGCTTCTTCAATTGTGGTTTTGAAGTGAGGATTAAGAAAGATGCAAGGCTCGTTCATTCATTTGAAGAGATTTAGACATGTTTTCATTCAAAAGTAAAGAAACTCAACACTACAAGTTCGTTCTTGGTAAGGGCTCTTATTAAATTCATGTCATAGCCATGGAGTTATATGTAACACAAAATTAAAAGATCTTGGAGATACAAAAGAGAATTTGGAAGAGAAGATTACTTGGAGTATTTGGGCTTCATCATTAAAATCAAGAGTTTACAAGAAGCTTACATTACCAATATCATTATAATGTCATTACAAGGTTAATCGTGCTACATTGATATCACAACATCGGATGAAAACGCTTTGAATACTTGAAAAAAATTATAAGTGAATCTATAAAGCATTACAAAAGATTACACAAAAAGTCTTCATGATTACCGTTACATTTTTTGGACTTTTGACAAAATAAAGAGACTATACAAATTAAGTCTATGCCTAAGTTGTTAAGTTCCTAAGCTACGTGAACAAGCTTCAATCTTCGCCGACTTTATGCAACCATGACCATGATCCATTGTGACTTCATATTTCTTTAATTTTCTCTTCTTGATCCGAGTGTTTGACACCAACAGCTTATTGTACCAAGCACAAACCTGCATGAATAACACTAAGCACACAAAACCATCCAAAACAGCCCTGCAAACAGAAATAACAGAATCACCAAAACTAAATAACTCCAATTTCCTAACTTCTTAGCTGTCAAAAAACCAACTTCTAAAGAACCTCATAATAGATTTAACAAAATTCCAGCTTCCAAACCCCTAACTGTTTTTTCTAACAACTTTCTGTAACAACTTTCAACCTCTAAACAACAACCTATAACCAACCTCTCTAACCAACTAACAGGAAAAATAACCATTTCCTAACCAACTATCAAAAACAGAATCATTATCTTCTAACAGTTCCAGCCATCCAGTTAGCTCTCTAACATCCTAACTCCTCTAAATCCCAAACAAAAAATAACAAAAAACCATATAACAGAAAAACAACTTTCTATCCTTCTAACTATTTTTTAACCAACTTCTAAACAGCCCATAACTAACAACTCATTCATGTAACAACTTCCTGACGGCATCTCAGCAGAATAACATAAAAGAGAGGAAGGGATATGATATAACATAATTCATTCACACAGGGAGAAAAAACTCACCAGAAAGTTAAGAAAACCTTCAACTTCTCTGAGATCCTTCAAGCACATTTCTTCAACCAGAGTTATCTTGATCAATTTTTCATCTGATTAAAGGGCCACCAAGAAGAAGACTCTGAAAATCTTGTAAATAGGCACCACTTCAACAGAAAATTTTATGCACTCTTCTCCCTATTGACTTCAATCACAACAAGGACGTAGTAACTTCAATCTACAACAAATCTGCATCATATTCATCTTCTAACAATCCGCAAGAACACGATAAATTAAACAAAAAAAATTCACAACTTTCAAGCCTCTCCAACCCCGTCTTCAATCTGCAACCTTCTTCTACAAAAATTGCTTCTGCACCGCTTCTTTGACATCGTTCTTCATCAGCGTCACAACATCAATACTCTTCTATCATCATCATTCACGATCTTCGTCATCCGTAACACTCACATCCTTCATCTATGTATCACCAATTCTCCTGCAACAATCTTCATCTTCGATTTGCACCAAGAATCTACATTTGTTCAACACTTCACAGCTTTATATCTTCAATTTTTCTCACTGTAAAACATGCACGAATTCAACATCAACGCGACAATAACATCCTAGCTCAAAGCACTGCCAACTCAAAAAAACAAATCGCAGAAAGGAAGAAGAAGAATCGAGGATATCTATCAGCGAATCATAGCGAAGTCGAAGAAGAATGAGAATAAACTTCACCGTTAGTTCTTGTGATGTCTTCATTAAAACATCATCAGAGCCATTGTTGCGGAGATTGGTAAACGAAAAGGTTGAGACGAAATCAGAGAAGAATGAGCGAAGACGATGACGAATCAGTGGAAATCAAAGACGGCTGTTGGTGGAGGCGTAAGAGATAAGGTGGAGGTCGTATGTTTTACGACGATGTGAGGCGGCGAGACTGATACCCGCGGTGGGCTGAAGAAGAAGGGTGATAGGGTTGAACTTTTTGGAAAAATATGATGTATTGGAATCAGATTGGTGATGGATCGGGTTATATGGCCCAAATGACATTTTTGGTAGTTTTTGGGTTGGTGAACAAAAATAGTTGATGGGCTTAGCATCAATTTGCTGCAACATACCTTCTAGTCTCAAATCCACACCCCTTCTGTTTAGAGTTTTAAGTTCTTTCCCCATTAGTTTTCTTTTTATTATATTTATGTTAATAAAGTTAGTGATAAAAAGGAAATAAAAAATAGTATAAATATGCTAATTGATTTTAGGATTCTCTTTAGAATTTAATTAGAGTTTTCTAGTATTCATTTCATGATTAGTTTTGGTTGCTAATTTTGTCATGATCTTTTGGTAGACTTTAGCACCAATTTTGTGTAATATTGTTGAATAAGAGAGACTTGGTTGGAAATTTTCAAGATGTTTCGAAGCGAACTAAGAGCACAATCTCCATCAAGGGAATTCGAGGAAGCTTTTAGTAGAGTTTTCACATCACTCGCGTGGTTTTGAAGAGGCAGCGGACTTTCTCCGTTCGGTATCATCGCAACTCTATTTTACTCCTCATTTCGCACTTTATAGTATTTCTTTACCGCTTTTCAAGATACCATGAAAAGTAGGAAATAAAGAGCATGCGCTCGAAGTCGCTATTTAAAGACCTGTAGCAGGCATTTCGCACTTCATTTGCTATATGTGTTGTGCTTGTGTTTGTTTCTTTGGTTGTTGATCGATGAGTCACTCAATTTAGGAATTGAGATCACGACTTCGCTCTCAGTGCATGCTCCCTATAGGATTTTATCGCTTTCCTTTATTTCTTGTTGATCGATGAGTTACTCAATTTAGAAATTGAGATCACGACTTCGCTCTCATTGCATGTTCCCTATAGGATAGTTTTGTTAGACTTTCTTTGGCATGCTAACTTAGATAGGATCTCTCTAGGTGTGCTCTCTTGAGCTTATTGCCTTGTTTTCTTTATCCTTGTACATACCATGTTCCTTTAGGATGTGCTTGCTCCGTCCGGATGCAAGTTAGACCTTAGGTTGTAAACCATGCATGCTGACATTAGGTAGACGTTTCCCTTTCATTCATCCTTGACTTAGGACCACCATTGTATGATGACATTAGGTTTAGAAATAGGCTAGTCTTCCTTAGAATCTTTTCTTCCCCTTTTGCATATGCATTTTAAAACTAAAGTTATTTCTTTAGCAAATCATAAAATATGCTAATAACACTTAAATCCTCTTTCAAGGTAACAAAACATAAACAAATCAAATGTGTCATCTTGTCTTGAGGGGGTAACTCAAAACCTTTTTCAAGCAAGAACGTGATTAATTTACTTATGTGCCAACGCGTGAGTCTCCAAAGGTCGAGTTGCGGCAGAAGGCGGAATTAACGTTGTCCATAAAAAACACAAACAAACAAAAACATTTGAGCCGAACTACGGTAGCTCTGATTCCTCAAAAAGGATACGTAGGCATTGGGGTAGGGCCCAAGCGAGTACAACTTTATTTTTCCTACATTTTTTTTTCCTTTCTTTTGCATGCATTCCTTCAGTAGTAAACAATAAGCATAAATTAAACACACCCATAAGATAAAACAACAAGAGTGAATAC